TAATCAATTACAAGCTCAAAAAATTTGATTTTTAGTAGCATTAAAACCAAAAATTTTACAAGAGAATAAAAAAAAAGAAACTCAAAAAAAAAAAAAAAAAAAAAAAGAAAACAAAAAAGAGAGAACTAGATAAACCAAACCTCTTGATAGGATAATTACAACCTTTATAGAGCACTTGCTTGGAATCAACCAAAATATGCAAATAAAAAAACCTACTAAACATTAGTTTAAATATAAAAATAAAAAATAAAAAAAATAAAAAGATTAAAAAAAAAACATCAAAGCATAATCGACAATCAAAGTTGCCGTCGATTATAAGTATCGACAGCCAAACTTATAATCGACAACAACTTTGGCTATCAATTATGCTTGGTACCCGTCCATTCAACCCAAAAAAGAAAAATAAATAAATAAATAAATCTCCCAACTAATTTGATTTGAAATATAATCGATTGCATTATTTTAATATAATCAACAAGATTTCTGTCGAAGATATTTTCAAGGGCTCCAAAATCAGAACATCCCATTATCTTCTCTTTTTTATATTTAGTTACCTCTCCCCTTCTCCTTCTTTCCCACAAGTAGAACGCCCCATTTTTTCTTTCAACTTCTTCTCCTTTTAATTTTCCTTTTTCTTTTTTCTTTCATCTTTTATATTCTCCTACTTGTATTTTTGTAAATATGTCTAGTTTTATTTTATTGTTCATTTATACCTATTCCATTATCTTCTTTGCTGACAATCCATCATCTTCTTTCTCCTCATCCTTCTCATTCAATGCATTCTCTTTTTTATGCATCAGCCAATTATTTCAATTTAGTTTAAACTAAAAATTCTTATTATTTGATATATTAATAGTTCCTTTTTTTTTTTGGAAAGATTTTATTACCTTGATTATGAGGTAAATTTTTCTTTTAAATTTGATTTATATTTTTTATTTTCTTTTATTTTAATAAAATCATAATGTATACCAATGCATTTTTCTTTTCCTTATTTTTGGCAAGATATTAATTTCAAAATAAGGTTAGAATTCTCATTTTAATTTTATTTATGTTTATCTATTATTTCTTATATTATTCTTAAAATTATTTCATAAATACATTGTTGGGGGACTTGATGATTGTATTGAGTTTTGTTTTATTTTTTTTTATAATTTAATTAACAAAAAATTTATAAACATAATTTTGGATTTTGTTGAATTTTGTATTTTTTTTTTAATTTTTTTGCTAAGTATAAACGACAGCCATTGGTTGTCGAATATAAATATAATCAACAACTAATGACTGTCGTTTATACTTGGCAAAAAAAAATAGCGATAGCCATCAACTATCAATTAAATAGTTATAATCAACAGCCAATGGTTGTCGATTATACTCGGTAAAAAAAAAAATTATCGTCAAACACTTTGCTATCGATTAAAATTATATAATCGGCAACTAATGGCTGTCAATAATATTTTTTATTCTTTTTACCAAATATAATCAACAACCAATAACAGTCAATTATATTACATTTGATAGCAAATAACTGTCGATTATAGTAGTATATTTGACAAAAAAAATTTTTGTCGATTATAATTTTTTTTATTACTGTTCATACAACAAATATAGTTGTCGATTATGTTTGTTGATGATAACTTAATAGACAAAAATCTTTATACAATCGACAGAAATTATACTTTGTTTTCTAGTGGTGGATGAATTCATTTTGGAAAGGTGATGATCCTTAAGCAAGAGGCAAATCCATAAGGATCTATGTCCATGGAGGCATTGTGCTTGTCAAGTAGCTCTAGCGTGTTCTCAAGCACACAAAGCAAACACTCTGTCAGGGTTGAGAAAAAGTCGATGACAAATCTCAAGAAGTTAAGGAAGAATCAAGGCATCTCAAGTTGTTGGCAGAAACTTCCGACCCATGTGAACACATGGACTTTCCATGTGGTAAACTTTGCACAACCTATAGTTAAAAGGCTACACGTATGGCAACTCTTGTTGAATGTTTGCATGGTAAATTCAACCATTGCAAGTTTACTTATTTAATGAAGTGAAGAAATTCATGCATGGGTGGTTGGGTTTTTTCCTCATAAATGCCCATGCATGCAAAGGTAACAAGCAAGCAAGAAGCGAGTGCAGCAGCAATTGAGCAAAATGAGAGCTCGAGGTAGGAAAAAAAAGAGGGCGAGAGCTAAGCATTAAGTTTAGGTGTAAGTGTGCTCCATAGAGAGAGTACATTGAGTGATAAAATTGTGAGTTTATTAGTATTGTAATCATATCCTGAGGGAGTGGGAAACACCAAGAGAGAAAAATACTTGAGTGTATACTATGTACAATTTTATCATATAGTGAAATATCCTTCAAAGTTTGTCCCGTGATTTGTTCCCTCAATAGTTTTTTAAGAGTTTTTTCACGTAAAATTTGGTGTTGTCTTTTAATTTTTTTTATTTTTTAAGTGGCTGGTTAAACCACCCATTTTATTTTGTTCGGCTAGATACGCTGCCTTTAGCACTAACCATTAATATTTGGCCAGCAAAGCCTTCTATTTCACCATTCTTTGTTATTGTTCACGTGTTTTGTTCATAAGAATCGATTTATTCCACTACGCCATTTTTCCCAACACAAATCACATGCGCAGCCAAGATGAAGGGATTCTGAACTTACTATCTGATGGTGGTAGGGGTGGGAACGAGTCCCCACAAGGTGGGGACCCCTCCCCATCTCAACAATGGTGGGTATAGGGATTTCCAAAGAGATTTTTGATAGAGGCAAAAAATAACCTACATCCCATAGTTGTAAGGAATGGTATGTTTGTTAGGTTCTCTTTGTATTTTGATGATGGTTTAAAATCATGATTCAAAAGAATTTAATCTATTTTTGTGCTAAGTGTGCAGGAAAGTTAATTCAAGGATTCTAATCTTTCCCCACTATTAGAATTGAATCATATCCTCCTTGTTCAGAGTTCTGGGTTCGAATCAATTATATTTGATTCAAACCAATCCCTAACTTCTTTTTTCCGAAAATGATTCAAACCATTATTTCTTGCTTTGAGGCAAAAATTCTGGAAGGGTAAATTTTGATAGCTCAACTATCTGTTTATTCTTAATGGGTTCTAGGGTATCCAAATGTCTTAGCAATCTCCAAGACAAGTCAAAAGAAATAGGTGGAACCTAATTGGGGCAATTGTGAGGTGGCTTTGAAAGGCTAAATGGGCTTTAATTGCAAGGCTCCTAACCAACTATTAAAAGGATATCAAAAATTAGATCTGCTGGCATGAATAAAAGAAGGACGAATTGCTCTAGCAATACAGAAAAACAGGGTTTGTTTTTTAAAGTGTTTTGGATCTCCTTCTTCTTCTCTTCTTGTGAGCTTTTGGGTTAATTGTCTTACAAGCGTTTTGTATTCTTCTTGGATTGGGATAATCCTTGAAGGGGTTGAGTGAGTTGAGATTCACTTGTGAGGGTTTAATCTTGCACCCGCAAGCAAGAATTTGTTCTGGTTTAATCTTGCACCTGTAAGCAAAAGATTTCTAGTGGATTGAACTCTCGAGTAAGGAGGCTTGGGGAGTGGATGTACTCCGAGTTGGAGGAACCACTATAAATCACGGCTTGATTTTCTCATCCCTTTCTTTTATTTTTTTACACTATATTACTCTTGTTTATTCTGCACAACAACTTATATATATATATATATTGAAAACTTCATTCACATTTTTATAAAGGAAATGAAATGAGTTTTATATCTTAGGAATTGAGGTGTAGTTAGCTGGGATTACAATTGGTATCAGAGCAGGTTCTCTTAGAAATAGATTTAACAATCTTGAGTAGATCCATGGCTTTCCAAGCTCATTTTGTTGAAGGTCATTCAATCACTAGGCCACCTTATTTTGATGGAACAAATTATCGATATTGGAAAAATAGGATGCAAATTTGGTTGGAAGCAAATAGCTATGAGATGTGGGATTGTATTGCTAGAGGACCATATAAAATCTTAGTTAGTGACAAGGATAACCAACTTGTTCCTAAGGATCCTGCATCATATGATCAAGCTGAAAAAAAGAAACTGCAAATAAATGCTCAAGCTAAAAATGCATTATTTTGTGCTTTACATCCTAGTGAATATGATAAAATTAGTGCATGTGATTCTGCTAAGGAAATGTGGGATAAATTACAAGTAGCTCATGAAGGAACTAATGAAGTCAAGAAATCAAAAATTAACATGTTGGTTCAAAAATATGAGCTGTTCAAAATGAAATCAAATGAAGATATTAAAGACATGTTTACTCGTTTTACCAAAATCACTAATGAATTAAAGCTTTTTGATAGGGTGCTTCCAGAGGAAGATAAGGTTAGAATAATTCTTCACTCATTGCCAAAATCCTAGAGTTCAATCAAGACGACAATAGAAGAAGCTCATGATTTAAGTGCCATGGCTGTTGAGATGCTACAAGGGAAGCTTTTTACACATGAAATGGCCATGAAAAATGATGAAAGTGAATTCTTGGAAGAAGAAATGTGTAGCTTTCAAAAGCTCCTCTAAAGATGAAAGTGACAGTGATGAAGAGGATGATGAAGAATTTATAGTGCTTGCTCGGAAGTTTAAGAGTTTCCTAAGGAAAGACAAGCTGAAGAATCAAGAACAAAAGAAAAATTACAAAAGCAGTAAAGGAAAGGGAGAAAGCAATAAAAAGGATGAAATTATCTGCAACAAATGCAAGAAGGCTAGACATATTAAATCTGAGTGTCCAAACAATGATGGAAAAAGTCTAAAAGCCAAAAAGAAAAAGAAGGCAATGGTTGCCACATGGAGTTGCAGTGAGGACTCATCTTCTAGTAAAGATGTCACGCTCCAAAACCTGAATTCGAGGCGCGACAGATGCGTGCACTCGTGAGACGAGTCCCACAAATGCACAAGGCTCAGAACTTATCATATCATACTCTGATACCATCAAAATCTGAAGATCAAATCTTTAAAATTTGCTCTCACATCATAAAATCTCCAATACACTCTAGTTTACAAGATCATGATTATTTCTAAAATCTATATCAAACTCGAAATGGCTAGCCTTTTAACTCGTCACTTCCCGTGGTTTCCCCGTCCTCGGTTTCACTTCCTAAAATGGTGGACAAGGAAAAACTATGAGATAAACTCAGTAAGTAAATATGGATAGCCCTTATTAAACTTATAGCATGCCAACAAGTGCAATCACGAAAAACGGATACAATACGGGAACGAAATAAACGTCTCCTCTATAGGTCATGGCCAGCGTTTATAAACCTCCCACTGGCGGGCACACGATTTACTAGTGTATAATCCCCGCTAGCAGGGCCACTGAATAAACCGGTTCTATCAATAACATGTCGACATGTGCTAGCGTTTGTAACCTCCCCCACTAGCAGGGTCACGAATAACATATCGACATGTGCCGACGTGTGCTAGCGTTTATAACCTCCCCCACTAGCAGGGTCACTAATAACATGACCACATCGGAGACAAAACAGGCAGAAGTTAACAGGAAAATCACAATTCACAATCACTTTCAGATCATCAGGACAGTCACTTAAATTCCAAGTAGGCATGCTCAATTTAATGAAAAGCATCAAAATCTCATTTCAAATCAATCAATGCTCATTTCTGTATAAAACGTGTTTAGTCCCACCACCACTTCAAAAACAAATCAAAACATGCTTTTAAAATCAAAGGGCGTTACCATAATTTACTTACCTCGCTCTGCAAAACCGAGCACTCAGTTCACGTACTAAACTGATAGAACGATCAAGAACCTAATCAAAATATCCACGAATTAATACTGCACTATCACAAATTCACACTGAAATCATCATAACTAATCCCTAATCACGATGCTAATTCCTATCAATCTCCACATGATCAAATATCTCCAAATTCGTTCTTATATCACAAACTAATCATTTAAATCCCTGTTAATTGTTGGCCCTCGGGGTGTGAACAGTGTCGGTGAACAGTACCCCACGTGAACAGTAACTCTACTTCCACAAATTGGCCAAAACACTAGCTAATCTCACGGGGTTTTCTCTCCAAAAATCACACAGCAATCAATTAACACTCAATCATATAAATTCCACTTGAATCAATGCTTAAATCTCATCCTAAAGTTACCGGAATTATCCCCCATTTTTAGCCAAATTCGGACATCACAGGGGCAGCCAATTAATCAAGCTAATTCTACCTTAATCAAGCTTAAAAACAATGGTTTAAGGCTGCCACATACCAGAATTTACAAGCAAGGAACCAGAGCTAGCAGATTAGGGAAGGCCGGCGCGATCTGCAGGGGGAAGCTCACGGAACTACCCAAAAATTGGAGGAACAAGAGCAATTAAAGTAAACCCAAGCCACTTCAAGGAAAAACAAAGGGATTTAATGGCTGTTTCTTACCCAAAACCCAAGCAATTCGCCCCCACAACAAGAGCAACCAGCGGACAGAGCAAAGCAGAGCAGATCCGGTTTCTACAGAGAGGGAGGGGAAATTTCTGGGTTCTTTATGGGTTCTAGAACAAGAAAGGAAGGGGAAAATACCAAGCTTCCTTACCAATTTTCCAAGGCATCTGGGTTTCCTTTTTTTTTTTTCTTTCGGGTGGCTGCAGCGAGAAGAGAAGAGCAGAATTGGACAAGGCTGGGAAGAAAAGAAAGAAGGAAAAAGAAAAAGAAAAGAAGTCATCCTTATCCAAATTCTTTTCCCTTTTAAGTCCCCCAACTTTTCAATTTTGGCCATCAAGCCTCAAATAATATTTTCCTCACACAAAGGTACCTAACTTACACTTAAATATCACAAAATTTTGGGGTATTACAAAAGAAGTAAGTGACATGGAAGCTCATATTTGTCTCATGGCAAATGATGACACAAATGAGGTAAATTTCAATTCTTCTTCTATTTTTGATCATGCTAGTGATGATGAAATGCCATATGAAGATTTACAAGATGCATTTAGTGAATTATATGAGCATACTAAACAAATTAGCGCAAAAAATACATCTTTAAAAAGGAAAATTTTGTCACTTAGAAAAGAAAACAGTGATTTGAAAGAATCTTTAAATGAGGAAAAGATAATTAGTCAAAATATGGAAACTGACTTGGAAGAGTCAACAATTGCATTTAGAAATTGCAAACAAAAGTTGATTGAAGAGTATGATACGTTGCTAGATGAATTAAAAAGGAAAATAAGCTCTCTTGAATGTTATTTGAACAATTTTGTGAAAGGCAAATGTAACTTAGACAACAATTTAAGTTCACAAAGATTTCCTCATAATAGAGCTGGACCTTCTTTTGAATTATCTAAGTCTTCCTCATCTAAATCTACTGTTTTTATGAATTGTAATACTTTGCATTCTTATGACATAGTAAAAGCATCAAGTTCTAGAGATAATCATGTTCATTATGGTATCATTTGTCATTATTGTTTAAAAAGGGAACATTATATTCATAAGTGCTATACTAGAAAGAATTTCTTTAAGATGAATTTAAAGTGGGTTCCTAAGAAAATTTCTACTTGTTCGACTAACTTAAATGGACCCAAGAAAGTTTGTGTACCAAAATCTAGTGCTTAAGTTGTGTTTTCAAGGAAGCTTGAAGGAAAATTTGAAAAAAAAAATGTTTATTATGTAAATGGTCTCAAGCATAATTTGATTTGTATAAGTCAACAATGTGATAGGGGACATAATTTTTTTTTTTTTTTGTGTCAAATGCATGCAAAATGTTAAACAATCATGATAATGAAGTTTTGTGCTTACTTTGGTTTATAATGCTTATCATAATTTTAGTGTTTTGTACTCTTACAATGTTTGACTTTTGTGTACTGCTTATTTGTATGTTTGAACCCTATGCTATGCTTTGTGCTAATGTGCAAATTTCTTTTTGCTAATGACAAAAAGGGGGAGAGGAACTTAAATGAAAACTATCCTTATTATCTGTTTGTGCAATTCTTGTTGAAACTTGGAAGCATAGCTTACACTTATTATCTTTATTATTTTAAGGCATGGTTTTGTCATCATAAAAAAAGGAAGATTATTAGGTTCTCTTTGTATTTTTATGATGATTTAAAACCATGATGATTTAAAACCATGATTCAAAAGAATTTAATCTATTTTTGTGCTAAGTGTGCAGGAAAGTTAATTCAAGGATTCTAATCTTTTCTCATGATTAGAATTGAATCATATCCTCCTTGTTTAGAGTTCTGGGTTCAAATCAATTATATTTGATTCAAACCAATCTCGAACTTCTTTTTTCCGAAAATGGTTCGAACCATTATTTCTTGCTTCGAAGCAAAAATTCTGGAAGGGTAAATTTTGACAGCTCAACTATCTGTTTATTCTTAATGGGTTCTAGGGGATCCAAATGTCTTAGCAATCTCCAAGACAAGTCAGAAGAAATAGGTGGAACCTAATTGGGGCAATTGTGAGGTGGCTTTGAAAGGCTAAATGGGCTTGAATTGCAAGGCTCCTAACCAACTATTAAAAGGACATAAAAAATCAAATCTGCTGGCATGAATAAAAGAAGGACGAACTGCTCCAACAATACAGAAAAACAGGGTTTGTTTTTGAAAGTGTTCTGGATTTCCTTCTTCTTCTCTTCTTGTGAGATTTTGGGTTAATTGTCTTACAAGCGTTTTGTATTCTTCTTGGATTGGGATAATCCTTGAAGGGGCTGAGTGAGTTGAGATTCACTTGTGAGGGTTTAATCTTGCACCCGCAAGCAAGAGTTTGTTCCGATTTAATCTTGCACCCGTAAGTAAAAGATTTCTAGTGGATTGAACTCTCGAGCAAGGAGGCTTGGGGAGTGGATGTACTCCGGGTTGGAGGAACCACTATAAATCATGGCTTGATTTTCTCTTCCCTCTCTTTTATTTTTTTGCACTATATTACTCTTGTTTATTCTGCACAACAGCTTATATATATATTGAAAACTTCATTCACGTTTTTATAAAGAAAATTAAATGAGTTTTATATCTTAGGAATTGAGGTGTAGTTAGCTGGGATTACAATGTTGTCATAAGTATACAAATTTTTTTGTCAAATATTAAATATATAAAATTTACTTTTTTTTAATAAATAAAAAATTGAAACAATTAAAATAAAAAAGTACATTATACATATAATCAAACAATGTCTAGCTCTAACAAATACTTGTTGCTATATGGATAGCAATTGACTTATTAAATTGGGTTTGGGAAAAACTAGAAAAAGAATTGAGCTGGGCAATTTGAATTGAGTTCACCAAGCCAATTAATTTAGGTGAGTAAAAATTAATTGGTAATATATTTATAAAAAAAAAAGTGAATATTAGTTTGTATTATAAAAAACTAAGTAAAAAAATATTTTAAAAATTCATTGTTTTAATAAAATCTCATTGAAAAGATTAAAATTTTTTAATTTTTAAATAAGAATGAAGTTATTATAGTTTTTAATTATCATGTTTTATTAAAATAATATAATTTTAAAATATTTTTAACCTAATTTTTAATAATGCTGCTTAATATCTAGTAATCTTTTTATTAAAAAATATATAAACAAATTTATATATATTTTTATTATGTACGGATTCATATCGTTCCACAAAACTGAAGAAAATTCTCCATAAAATTTTACCAAAAAAAATACCTTTATTCCGGCCGTATTAAAAAAAATATTCTTCAAATCTCTATTTTACATTAACATTCCCGCGAAACTTTACTGAGTTGCGAAGGAAATCGTCATTCTGTAGTGACAGTTTGTCGTGTTCTCGGTGATTGTCTTGACACAAGCGAAGCCCTTGGAATGTACTCTCTCTCATTTGGATCAGAACCTCTGACGTGTCATATTATGTGGCAATTTCATTGGAACACGTCATGAAAATGGTTAGATCATCCCAACCGTTGGAATGGAAAAAATTTGACGAGTGGGATGCATCCAAATCCAATCGTATTGCTGGGTTCCGTTACATTTGGGCCTAATTATTCCAAACCCTAATATATTTGGTTGTATTTGGGCCAAATGGATGTGTTTAGTTACATATTATTGTCATAACTCAAATTTTTAATAGAATTTTATTTTTTTTATTTATATTTTTAGTCTTATTTTTATTTTAACATATGTTTTGTCTTTATTTTCCTTTTTAGGCTTACGAACAAAAGAGGATTGGAAAAGGGAGATGAAGGAGTTTTAAATGAGGGACTTAATTGAAGAAATGAAAAAGTTGGAGGGGTGAAATGTAAAGTTAAAAACCAAACCCAAAATCCAAAAATCCATAATATTTCAAAACCCAAAGCCCACCAAATTCCTCAAACCCAAAATCCAAAAAAATCCACAATTATCGAAACCCAAAAAGCCAAACCCAAAAACCCAAAAAACCAATCTTCCCAAAAAAAAAAAAAAAGGGGAGAATTAAAAGCCTTTTCTCTCGAATCTTCTCCATTTTCAGTCAAATGCCATCTTCCTCTTTCTCGAACCGGCCTTCTCCCCAAAACCAGCCGGCAGCCACCCTTAGCCAAAGTCACCGGCCGCTGAGCTTCTTTCCATGCCAAAGCCACTTCGATCTTCTTCCCCTCATGCACCTTCAGCTTTCTCTTTCTCTCCCTCATCTCCTGGATCATCCTCCATGCAGGCTTAGTTTTCTCCAGATCCGTCGACGCTGGCGAGTTTTTCGGTTACCATCATCTCTCCCATGGCTCCCAAATACATGAATCTTTATCCTCAGCCATCGATTTCACCTTCCTCTTCCTGTTGCAGACCAACCGACAGCCATTTCTCAAAAAAAGAAGCCGGTGATCCTCTTCCCCTTCTTCGGTTCCAAGCCTTCAATTCCCATCATTTTAAACCCCTTCCACATCAAAGTCCCTGGTTGCAATCAATCGAGTAGCCATCACCCACACTCACCTTCCCAATCATTCCCATGGCCCAGCACCCACCATCCCGGCGAGTGAGCATTAGAACCAGAGAAAGGAAAGCCAGATCTACCAACCAGCGATGGAGGTGAGATGCATGCGAAGCCCCGGCGACTTGGCGAAATATCAATCGTCATCCAACTGAAACAGATCTGCAAATCAAATTTATGCTAGCTACAAGGTGGCGACAGGGTGAATTGGGCGTGGATGAAGGCCCAAGTGCATTTCCCAGATTTTGTAAAAGGGATCAACATCGGAGAGGCCCAAATGCCTTGCAGATTCGGGTAAAGGAGAAACAGATCTGAAGAGCCCAAAACCGTGGATCTAAAAGGCCCAGGGAGTTGATTTCTGGAATGTTCTTATTAGGGTTTTTAGGGTTGCTGTGTTTGGGTATAAATAGAGGGAGGAAAAATTTTCTGTTGAAAGGGGGCTCGGTTTTTGTATCCGGAGGTTGACGGAGGGCTTATTTGCTGTGTCTGCTTCTGTTTAGGTAAATCTTTGAATAGAGGAGTTTTCTGGGAATGGTGGTGAAGAGGACGATGGGAGCCTGGTCTCGTGGGTGAGATCCCTCCCATCAGATCTGGGGCAAAAGCCTAAAAATAGCCCCTTACCAAGTTGGACGGTTTTAGCTCTTCATCTTGTAATATAACGGTTTTAACTCTAACCTATAAGAATGGAAGAAAATAGCCCTTACTTTTAATTTTCGTCGTACTTTTGTCACGTCTGTCACTTTTTTCATTAACTCTCCATTAACTTTGGCTGGTTTATACCTATAACAAATAAAAAAATAGGAAAGCTTCTCTGATGCTTTTTTTTTTGGGAATTTCAACTGTTTTTTTTTTGAGAATTCTAACATTTTTTTTTACTTTTACAAGATGACTGGCTGTACATATATTAATTGTATATAATTTTTACATATTATTAAATAAATAGATATAATTAATATTATAGGTTTCAAATAAATATAAACAATAAATAAAAT